ACACGCTTGCATAGCTCATAATACGAATTTCACTTTCGATCTTCGATTTTCGATAGCCAGCGAAGATCGAAAATCGAATGAGGCTCATAATAAGGGCCTTAATTGGAATACATCGTTAGTAGTGTTTTATTGTAAATTTGTTATACGAGAAAAAATTTGTAATTCTATCGACTAGGTGTATGGTGTCAGGTTAGCACTACATAACATTTTTTCTTAAAAAACGAAAGCTACAAATTTTTTAAGTCCACAACAAATTGACAACAAAAAAGCTACAATTAATTCCGTTGTAACCTTTTCAATATCTTAATTCTTTCGTCAATGGTGCGTGCTGTCAAGTTAGCACTACATACTACATTTTTTTGGTCGAAAAAGGGTCAACTAAATTTTTTCCAGAAAAGCGAAAGCTACAATTTTTTTCTTTTCACAACGAATTTTGAAGTTAAAAGCTACAATTAATGGCATAGTTTTTCCAGAAAAACGAAAGCTACAAATTTTTTCTTTCCACAACAAATTTATTACAAAAAAGACAATTAATTCCGTTGTAACCTTTTCAATATCTCAATTCTGTCGTCAATGGTGCATGGTGTAAAGTTAGCACTACATACTAAAGTTTGTTCGAAAGAGGGTCAACTCAATTTTTTCCAGAAAAACGAAAGCTACAATTTTTTTCTTTTCACAACCAATTTTAAATTCAAAAACTACAATTAATGGCATAGTAACATATTATATCTCTATTTTATCGACTAGGTGTATGGTGTCAAGTTAGCTATACATACAATATTTAAAAAAAAATTAGAGCTACAAATTTTTTCTTTCCACTACAAATTGACAACAAAAACACTACAATTAATGCCATAGTTAACATTTCCAATTTCGAAAAGTGTAGTGCTAACTTGACACACGTACCTTTACCGATGATATTAGTTGTGTTTAATGAGCTGATCTAGGTTACGCCAGGCTAAAATCTTAAATAGACGGCAGTGTTGATCCGGATCAACTTGGGAATTAACTGCAGTTGATCCAGATTAAGTGCGAGTTAATCCGGACCAACGCTGCCGTCTGTTTAAGCTTTAAGATATCACACAAAATTTTGTTTCATGACGATTTTTCTTGCTCTAACTTACTCTACTTTTTGTTTCATGAGCCTGCGCTAAGTGGAATTAGAGCAACTTAGAGTACGATTTTCTGCTCCAGCTTTTTTGGTGGAGTAACTAAGAGCAGGCAAACACACACACACACTTTACAATTGCCGAATTGAACTGTCAATAAATCAACCGTTTTGAGGTTTTGCCTGAACGGTGTTTTATGAGATTCCTGATCTGAGTTTGTCTAACTTGTACGATTGTTTTTCTGAGAGCGGAATAGAGTAGCCGCTCTAACTTGAGCTGCTCTGCACTTTCTTCGGTCTCATTAAACGCAACTATTATGGGCCAAAAACATACAAATAGCCGATTTAGCAGCGCATGTACACGACCAAATACCTTTCCTCATCCAAATCAATCGATTTTGAATCCCAAACCGTTGTTTTTCCATTTGTCTATTTGTATGAACTAAACAAACTTTGATTGCGTTTCTTCACAAATTTAAATTTTGAAATAATTCTGTATATTATTAAACGTGCGAAATGCATACTTGAAGACCTCAAACGCGCAGTAAAAATACATGCTTTGTAGGTCAGACTACAACTGGGAATTCACGTCGATGAAGAACCAATTCCGACGGTGAACAAACCGAAGATCCGTGGAGTAACCTTCGACAGTCTGCTCTCCTTCTCGGCGCATACAAACGCAATTGTCAACAGAGTACAAAGCCCCAACAAGGTCCTCAAGTCGCTAGCAGGCAGCACCTGGGACAAAGGCATAGAAACGTTGCTGGCAACGTACAAGGCCCCTGTCCCTATGGACAGACCCCATCGAGGGTGCACGCTTCCGCTAGTTGAGCTTGGCGACAACGATTGAGGGACTAACCGATCTGAGCGGGGTTGTTGTAGCCGCTACAACAACAACGAGGCTTCAACCTCTTGGTTACGGCGGCTATATTTGAAAGCCAGCTCCTAATTGCCAATAATTATAAAATACCGATGTCGCCTTATTATGTGCACTTACCTTTTCAACGAGTTCGAGCTCTTTAGAATTGCCTTCTACTTTTGGTCGTTTTACTGAATTGGACTCATTTTCATCACTGGATATAACGAGTTCTGCGTCAACGCACTCTACAGGCATCTTCGATTTCCTACGCTTGTTAGCCTTTCCACTGCCAAGTGGCAATTTTATTTGCACTTTTGGTGCGCTTCCACTTGCTTTACTCCCGCTAGATTTATTTTTCGCACTTCCAGGTGTGTTAGACTTTTTCACGTTAATACTTTTTGGAGTACCGGTCTCTTTACCTTTGATCTCTTTCGGTTTGGGTGTATGTGGCGAATTTGATGCGTTCTTTTTTTTTGATGGCTTTGATTTAATGGTATTCGGTGAAGCTACAGCCAAGTTTTTGTCCTGCTTTTTTATGATTAATTCTTGATCATCCCCCTTTTCTTTTGCCTTATTTTCATCTTCGTCTTCCAAGATATCATCATCATCCAATAATACAACATCGTTATCTTCATCTATTTTCTTTTTCTTTGCGCTGGTTAAGTTTTCTTTACTAGCCGATCGACCACGTAACGCATCAGATTCATCTTGTGCCGATTCAGACTTTTCTTCATAATCAAACGACAACCTGCGTTTTCTAGCATCCTTTGCCACCGTTTCTGTCTCCTTGGAAGCTGCAGAGCACCCCGCAGACGGCGTAGTAGCGGATGAAATTATTTTAAACGGCAGCCGTGCCTGCACAAGCTTCTTACCGCTGGATTTTTTTGCAGCACCGCCATCCCGCTTATTGGTAGCGGGCGTCTTCACTGCTGCACTTTGCATTCCTTAAAACTTTAAACGAAGATTATAAAATACTAAAATGTATTAAATCAAAATAATTAAACACAAGAAAATTGCACAAAGACAGCCTAAAAATGTCAAATCGTGCGCGAATGAAAACAAAAAGCGCGCCAATATACACAATGAAGTTGGATGCGATACATAGAGCCAGCTGATTGTTAACTGTCAATAAGAAATGTAAAGTGCGGTTAGACATGGAAAGTACTTTTCTAGCAATTTTGTTATAAAATTTCGAAAGCGAAAGTACTTAGGGAACAATTTTAGAATACAAAATGTTTAGCTATTACTACGTTTATGCGTAGGCAAATTCACGAAATCATTTCAGCAATTCGGGCTAAAATTGGCTGCATAAACACAATGGCGCATATTCATAATCATATTTAGTACTCAACTAAGTCGAAACTATTCTAAGGGCCGGTTACTCAATGTCTGGTTAACACTAATCTCCGGTAAAACATCGTTGTCGACGTTACCCACTCCATGTTATATGCATGGAGCCGAACACGTCGATAATGATGTTTAAACGGAGATTAGTGTTAACCAGACATTGAGTAACCGGCCCTTAGTCACAACTAAGGGCCGGTTGTTCAATGTCTGGTTATCACTACCACTACACTATCGACGATTTCGACATCATGCATGTAACATGTGATCGATAAAGCAGTAGTTGTGCTTAACCGGAGCTTCTACCTCCGATTTGTGCTAATCAGACATTGAACAACCGGCCCTAAAGCTATTCATAGTCGCCTTAATTTCGACTTTTCTGGCTAAGTACCAACTTAAAATTTAGTTTCGGCTGCAGCTGCAACTAAGTCGTAACTAGGAAGAAGCATTTTATCAAATTAAGGGAAAACAGACGAAATATGTAAAAATTAAGTTGGTACAGGGTGATTTTGATAATCTTATCTTACTAATATTAGTTGTGTTCTTTTACAAATTATCCAGTAACTTGCCAGTAACTCTCCAGTAACTGAATTTCTGAGAATTCGCTCTCATAGCACAAAAGTACAAGAACATAAAACCAGTAATAATTTGCAAGTTTTACTAACAGCTGATTAATTTCTTGTTTATTCGCATCTAGTTGCTAATAAAACAATGGCCCGTAGTCATAGTCAAAATAAAGTCGACTTTAAAGTTAGTTGCAGCTTTTTGACATAATTTTCAATGGGATATCTGTCAAAAAAGCTGCAACTAACTTTAAAGTCGACTTTATTTTGACTATGACTACGGGCCAATGTATATAATATTTAAATAGGTTTATTTCGTCAATTTCAACTATAAAAACCTCATAAACATTTCTTTTATTAGTTTCAATTCCACCCAGCAACATGCGATCAGCTGTTTTTCTCGCTTCTTACTAGCAAAAATTTATCCAGTAAAATCCAATAAAAACTAGCAACTTCTCCTCAAAAAGAAATGTCACTTTGCGCTCTCAATTTCCCCTTTCTTACAAGTTTTTTGGGTACAAGAACACCAAAACGTGATAGTTAGTACAAACTGGTACGAACTATCGCGTACAAGAACGCTACTATGATAAATTTGAAAGTTTGTATGTTTGGATGTTTGGGAAATCATCACGCGGAAACGACTGAACGGATTTGCATGAAATTTTGTACGCAGATAGCTTATGGGCCAGATTGGTTAATAGCATGAACGAAAGACACAAGATCACGTAAAACGAGAGAGTGAAAAAAGTCGAATTTTTTAGCGGGTTCTACGCCATCTTGTTTCACTGGAAAACGAGCGAAAAGTAAACAAAGCAAAGAAAACAACGAAAACCAAAATTAGCCAAAATTATTGTCAGCCACTTTAAACGCACAATTTAGGTAAAATGATGCAACAAAATGCTTTAGAATGTGTTGTCATGTTGAATTAACTATTCTTTACTTGAATAAAAGTGTAAAATAGTGGTGCTTGTGATGTAAACAAACGTTCAGCTGACGAACCCGCTTTCGCAAACTTTTTTCTCAAAACCAGTTACAAATACAACGTCGCCTTCTTACGTGATCTTGTATTTTTGGTTCATGGGTTAATAGCATGAAC